CACTCCCATTTGGTCTGTAATCAGAGGGTGTGGTCTCCTGGCTAAGGGATTTAAAGCTGATTTAATAGTTCCAAGGGTTTTAATTAAACATGTACTTTATACATTGTTAGGGTATTGTTAACAGCTATGGTATTTCTTTCTGATTAAGACATTATTTCATATATTCATGTGAAAAATATTTTATAAGACAGTATTGTTTTTTTGTTTTTTTTTCAATATTGACATGCACTCGTATCCTAGATAGTCACCATATGTCACAATCCATATGAATTAATTTCATGATATATGTGCTATATGTAAAAGAACAGAGAAGATCATCAATTTTTAGCTAAGTGACTCGTCTTTTTCACATTACTTATGAATAGGATTTTTTGATAATTATCAGTTCTTTTAATGTTGTTATATACATAACTTGTTTTAGGAGTTATATACAGTTCTTTACAATAATCTCCTGTGCTTGTGTTTTCATGACTAGAATTTTTGGCTGCCATAGACTCCATTCCATGACAATATGCTAGTGAGAATTGTTAAGTTTCAGTGTTGCATTGATTTAGGGTAATTCTTAAAATGATACAGTGGTAACAAAGAAGGAATAGACTTTATTAACCCAATGGTGACGGGTGAAGAAAACGAAAAAAAAATTCTATGCCCTGGCAAACAATGGCGGTGCGCCAGCTTTGAGCACGTGAGTTCGGTACATCAGCCCGAGTCACTGGCTCGCCGCGATTTGGCGCGCCACCGCAGTGTACAGCCACACGCCAGCTTTTGAGCGGTTTGTTTTCACGCCTATCGGCGTCACCCGTCGTTAAGGGGTCAACTATCCTACTTTGATATATTGACCTCATTAAATGTTTCAAATGTCAAAAAAGTGATTGCAGACAATGGTTCTGACAATCAATGGAGTGTAAGAAAAATGGTGTTCTTGTATTGTAAAGGCATGTGGTTTTCAGTAACAAATTAATAGGAAAAATTGATATATCAGTAAAACATATTGTGCAAATAAGGCAAATATAGCAAGAGTGTATTCTATAAATACCATGGCATTAGATTAGTTTGGATGTTGGGTTAGGACGTTTTGTCTAACAACCATGGGGGTCCAGGGGGTGAAGCCTTCTGGCTAGGGGCACAGGGGCATGACCAGGGGTCTGATGATATACTAGGGGATTTTGATGTTATTATGGCCCTAGATTTTACCAAAAGATCAGTTGGATACCTGTAGGGTTTTCCGAAAGTGGGCTGCAGACTTTCAAGGATGGGTACTTCTGTAGTGTATCACAAGCCAGTTTTCTGCATTTTTCATGGGTGGTTTTAAGCAATTTTGTTCTATATTATTCTATTTTAGCCTATGTTATTCCATAATTTCACTGATATACATCGTGGCTTCCCCTGCTATCAGGATTTTCAATTCAAAATTAGAAATTGGAAATGGTGATCATATCACCTTAGCAATTCATTTGCACAAGGAACAACACCCAGCTTTGTTGAAGTCAGTGAATTTCCTGTAGAATTAACATCAGAATTGTTTCAAAACTAAGCAGTAAGCCACTACCCTGTATCCATATTGAGCAAAATTTGTATTGTTTTCATCAGCAGAGGTGAAATTGAGCGTGTTTCTATGTGGTAAATTCTTCACTAGAGTAATACTTGATCTACATGCTGTATTTAGCTTATGAGGTGACAATCATGAATTGCATCCATCATAATTAAAACCCATGATATGCCAGTGGCAAATTCTTTTCCCATTTTAAGTCCTTAAGTAGAAAGTGTAGAGCAATGGTCACATTAGTCATGCATGATTAGGGATGTTTGGACAGGCATGCACATGGTCTGGCAAGGTCTAGGGCAGTGGTTCTTAACCTTTTTACTACCACGCCTCCTCTAGGAACTTGTGCTTCTGTCCACACCATCCCCTTGCATATATAAATAAAATTCCCTCCCTGATTTTAAAGGAGTGTATAGATTTATTCTTAGTCTTTCTCTTAAGTATGAATTAGTTACATTGTTATTGATCTTCTTTTTATTTGACTATGCTCTTGTTAAGAGAATAACAAATATAATTAGAGAAATTCCTGCTTTTACCCCCTAGATTAAAAACACTTGGCTAGGGCATCATTGGTTATTTTAGTTTAGTTCACATGGATGATATTTTTAAGGGTAAGCTTCGACTAGGCTTTATTTTATTTTATTTTTTATTTATTCATTTATTTTTTCACTCCTCATATATGTCAGGAAAAATATGACTAACCCATTGGATCCAAGTGTCTCACTGCCTGCAAGTGTTCTAAAATTTAGAAGTTAGGCTTACTTAGTGGCAATTCTCATGGGTGTGTGGCTTATAGGCCTGGCCCATACGAACACTCATGTGCAGTGTCAAGACTCTTTGCCTCCCCTTTGCAATGTTTTTATTTCTTTTTCTGCACATGCATATTATGCTTTCTTGCCATTTTTCATGGTCATATGATATTCTGTAACAGACTTATCCTTCCACAGTTTCTATAAC